CCATGTACACAGCGTTGGGGGGAAACTTTAGCTGTTTTAAGAAATTGATAGAGAGCATCCCGATTCGAGGAGGAATTGTGAAAGCGATGTAGGCCCATAAGGATCAAAGAACGAGAGAAGGCCGAACGCGAATTCGAGAGGAAAAGGGCACGAAGTCAATTAGAACAAGAAAGCCGCTTTCAATTAGAAAAACTCAGATGAACATGGTGAACAGGGACTAACTAGTCCGCACCTGAATCGATTGTAAGTCAATTCCGATTAATCAGCGATGATCGTTTTAAAGCGATACTACGAACCCCATCAACGGCATTTCTGAGTGTTTTCGAAAGTCAGCCGACAATTAGAAATTCCGGAGACGATGTTGCAAATCTTATGGGACTGCTCACCACATAAGATAAATGCGTCACTTACCTAGAAGGAATAGGAGGATAGAATATGCCGAGTAATAAGTCTATTGGAAATTGTAGATTCAATGCCGAGAAGGTTTCGAACAATTGTTCACGAACATGTTAAAGCGCAAATTTACTGAATTTATACGCGAGGGAGTTGCAAAATTTATTGGTAAAGAGTGGGTAGCTTGGATTAGTACATGCCATACTTTTGAAAGAGTTAATGAATTTTAATGGTAAATCGGATCAACGTGAAGACGTGGCCGAGGTGCCTATGCGAAATCAAAGAGCATTTTATTGGATGAGTGGGGAAATTTAACGGTACCTCTGAAGTTGCTCGTAGCTAGATAATTAATGAAAATAATAGGTGACATGGCTGGAAACTGCGGTCCACATTTAAAACAGTTACAGGAAACCGGAAGCCGCAAGCGGAACACTTGTAGCGAGCGCGAGCAATGCATGTCAGATAACAGCTTTGAAATTCAGGGAAAATCGCGTAGAAACCGATGTCAGGCGCGTTATGAGGAAGCAGACCCAACGCGAATGTTACAGTTGTGGGTCGGTCGATCACATGATGCGGAATGCCGCCAGACGCCGCGAGGCGGGAAAGAATAATTCATGTGATGCAAAACGGCTAGAGAATTGCTTTTTACCGCTGAGTGAAGGGGAAGATAACGTATACAGGGATTATAGCCCGGGACATTTTGAGGGACTCAGGCGCGTCGTGCGTCGGGATGATTTTGTACACGCACAATCATCAGCGACGAAGATTGAGGGAGAAAGAGTGATTTTTTTCAGCACTGGATGCACTTCATTCA